AGATCCAGGACTGAGACTGTAGATCCAGGACTGAGGCTGTAGATCCAGGACTGAGGCTGTAGATCCAGGACTGAGACTGTAGATCCAGGACTGAGGCTGTAGATCCAGGACTGAGGCTGTAGATCCAGGTCAGAGGCTGTAGATCCAGGACTGAGACTGTAGATCCAGGACTGAGGCTGTAGATCCAGGACTGAGGCTGTAGATCCAGGACTGAGGCTGTAGATCCAGGACTGAGACTGTAGATCAGGACTGAGGCTGTAGATCCAGGACTGAGGCTGTAGATCCAGGACTGAGACTGTAGATCCAGGACTGAGGCTGTAGACCCAGGACTGAGGCTGTAGACCCAGGACTGAGGCAGTAGATAAGGACTGAGGCTGTAGATCTAGGACAGAATAGATAACTTTCAGGCAAAAACATGAATCGTGAAAATATAGGAGTGAGAGCAGAGGTGTTTCAACCCATTTTATTCTGTAAAACAGATTCCCAAGATCCAAAATGTAAAAAAAAAAAGCATAATATCAGATTTTTGGAGGACTGAGGCCGGTTTATTCTCAGCTCAGTGAACACACAAAGCTTCCATTGTCTTTTAAACATCATCATTTACTCAAACCTCAAGGCGTTTTTACTGGAACCATTAATTCTGCGTATTTTTAGGCTGTGAAATAAAAAGTGAATTCATAAATACTGCACAAAAGCCGCATTAATGTTGTAACTGGAGGGAACCTGTCTCTTCATAATGAACTGTGTGGATGTTGTGGCTCAGGTTTCTACTTTGGGCTGGAAGCTGTTGGAGTTTGTCACGTCAAATAAATCAGATGAAGTAATAAACACAACCTCACACCGGCAGCGAGGAGCGAGAGGGCGAAAGGTTCAGGGTTCGGGAACAAGGATTTCGGAATCTGACTTTTTCTATTGCCAAAATGTGACTTTTGACGTGCAATGAACTGGTTTGATATAGAGGAATTATAAAGCATTAAGTTATAGAGTACAGTGGTCCTGGATCTACAGCCTCAGTCCTGGATCTACAGTCTCAGTCCTGGATCTACAGCCTCAGTCCTGGATCTACAGCCTCAGTCCTGGATCTACAGCCTCAGTCTTGGATCTACAGCCTCAGTCCTGGATCTACAGCCTCAGTCCTGGATCTACAGCCTCAGTCCTGGATCTACAGCCTCAGTCCTGGATCTACAGCCTCAGTCCTGGATCCTGCATATGTGTTTCACTGTAGCAGCAGTAGGTTTCTTGTTGGATCTATAATAATAAAAAGTATGCATAAAAGGGGCGGGGACAAGTGATGAGGGAAACTGTATTTTCTGAGCCCTGAAGATCAAAGCCTAACTCCAGCCGATGGATGAAACCTGGTTAAAAACACACAAGAGTCCGTTTGACCACAGCTCTCTTTGACCTGTTCTTTCCTTCACACACTCTCGTCTCGGTTCATTTATTTCATACATTCGTGTTTTTTGATTCCAGTGAAATTGCAGCGGTTTGTTTTGACCTTTGCGTTTCCAACAACAGCTCTGAGTGACTCTCTTGTTCCATTCCAGAGACTTTTCCGACGGACAGAGACCCAGAACGTAAACAACCCGGTCCCATGCAATCAATGAAAGGAAATATTATTTGCAAAGTTGAGCCTGGTTCCAAAGGTTATTTTTGCCTCGTAAATACTGAGATATACGGTCAGAACGTGCCGTGTGTGTGGGAGGGCTTCTCTCTTCAGCTGAAAATCCTAAATCTTTCTGGTCTTGAAAGGTCGGCGAGTGGATAAAAGGTTTTAAATGGTCTTACTCAGAAATGCCTTTGACTAGTGTGAATCACTTATATTTTACTTGCTATTTACTATAAAACTTTTTTTTTTTCATTTAAAGGGATACAAAATCAAGAAAAAGCAAAAGAATGACAGAGAATATAACATCACAATAAAAAAGTACAAAAATGAACCTTATTAAATTAAATAAAAATGTGAAATGGCTATAAATGCTAAAAATGTCTTTAAATGTCTGGATCATCACCTTTGACCCTCCTGCATCGGTGAGTTAGAAATGTTAAAAAGTGAGAAACCTCGGTCCATCTTTACAGGAGTCAAAAGAAAATTAGGGATACATAAAAAAAAAAAAAAAGGAATTCAAGGGAAACTGAGAAACAGAAAAATCACGCTGGATCTTCTTTTTCTTTGCATCTTTTGGGCTTCTACAAAAAATGACTAAATGTGGATCATGGTCTTAAAGCAGCGGTACCCAACTTTATTTTATAAATAATACATTGTTTGTTCCAATAAAAGAAAGTCACTATTGTCACCATGAGTCCCTGTGAGTCACTTTCTGACTGTGATAGAAGCGACTGTTTTGAGTGCGAGGGACAAGTTGGAAGAAATGTTGTGGTTTGAAAGACACGCACCCCAGCTTTAAAATCCAATACAAATGGAGATCAATACTGCAGGTCATTTCCAACAGGTTATAATCAAACACATTCAAACCAGCGTCATTTAAACAGTATTTCTGTGAGGAGGAGGGGGAGATGAATGAGGACTCAAAAGCAGAAATGCCAAAATAATGATTTAATAAAAAGAGGTCCAAGGTAAAAACCAAAACACCAAAGCAACCAACTCAGAACCAGGAACAGGACGGAACAGACCTTGACAAGACAATGAACCAGCAATAAGGGGAGAGGAGCACAGGACATGAGTAAAACTGAAATGAAACCAGAGAACTAATGTCAAAATAAAACCAAATACAGAAATACAAATCCACACCATGACAGTTTCATCGCAGGGGGTTGTATAAAGCAATTTGTCACTGGATGTTTCAAAATGAAGGTGATTTAAAAAAAAAAACAATCAAATTGTGTCACAGTGTTTCCCAATGTCGTCCATGTGAGAATCATTTTGTGGTAAGTGTGTGTGTGTGTGTGTGTGTGTGCGTGTGTGTGTGCGCGCAGGAGAAGGGTGGAGACAAGTCAAAAGTGTTTACAAGGATTTCAACAGGACCTGCTCCCAGAGTAATGAGTCCTAATGTCTCCCTGAAACAAACAGGTGTGTGCGGTATGTGTGTGTGTGTTTGCACGTGTACGTTATGTGTGAGTGTGTGTGCATATGTGTGTGTGTGTGTGTGTGTGTTCGTTTGTGTGTGTGTGTGTATGTGTACTTTATGTGTGAGTGTGTGTGCATATGTTCTTTTGTGTGTGTGTGTGCTTGTGTACTTTATGTGTGAGTGTGTGTGCATATGTGTGTGTTCGTTTGTGTGTGTGTGTGCATGTGTACTTTATGTGTGAGTGTGTGCATATGTGTGTGTGTATGGATTTGCGTGTGTTGTTGTGTGAGCATATGTGTGTGGCTTTGTGTATGTGCATGCATTGGCAGTGTGTGTGTGTTGACAAATATGAATGGAGTCCTGTCTATAATTTCAGATTCGTCGAGCTCTAGAGGAAGAGTAAAAATTGTTGCTGTAGTTATTGTACAGAAAGAACAGACTGTCTATAAACGTTAATAAAAGTCCATAAATGTCCAGGATCTTCACTGTTCTCAGACCCTCCATCTGCAAGAAATGACTCAAAAAAATTCCAGTGGGAAAAAGTGAGAAACCTCGTGTAGGCCCATAACGAGCTTCATAAGATTCTTGAAAACATAATTTTTCAGTCTGTTTTGTTTTGTGTAGATGCAGTGTTCCTTTCCCATCCACATAACTCTCATACAGCAGCCTTTCTCTGAGGCTCTACCGGCGATAACTTTAATAAATCTCACAAACGAGCTTAAACACGAACAAACGAGCGACTGTGAGCCCCCAGCTGTTGCCTATCGTCCCAGTAAATTAAGAAGAAGTCCATTAGGGAAGTGTTTTGGGTCCAGTGCTGTTTTACGGCTTGTGTGGGGCGGTCGTTACATAAGGCATTTCTTCAGCTTTAATAACGTCCTCCTCTTCTGCTGCTGAGGAGGCTGCAGGTCACTGGACTCCGAATCCCAACTGTTTAATAACAACATGTTCTGGACAAAGACTTGCGTAAACACAGACGAGACGAGGGGGCTTTTTTTCATAAGAAATACTCCCTCAGTTTAACCAGAACAACTTGACTTTGGAGCTGATACATAGATTATTTTCTTGTTTTCCATTGTTATTATCTGGGTTTGCAGAGAGGATTCAGACAAAGCAAAACAACTGATTCAAAGAAAATCTCTGCGACATATAGAATTAGAAATGTACTATTTAACCATGTTTTAACCCAGTCTTGCGATGTTTTTAGTGCCATCTATTGGTGGCTGAGGGGATAGCACTCATACATGACAGCCAAAATGTTGTTGTGTTTGATCCTAAATCGGCTCAGGCCTTTCCAGAGACTGTAAACAGATTGTGAACAGTTGGGAAATTGCAGTGTTGCACCACCAGTTACAGAACAGTAGGAATGAGCAGCACACCGAACTATATGCTAAAATAAGATATCATCTCTAACTTTAGCATAATAAAGAAGCAAGTATAAAAACTCAAGCTTTAGCATAGCGAATAATAAGGAATTAAGTATAACAATTTTAAAATTATAAATATATTCTAGTGGAGGAAATATATAGTTGTATGTTTTCATCTGTACCTGATGTATAACCTCAGCCAAGGGACTAAAGGTCCTATAACCTCCACGGTACAATGCATGAGTTAATGTTTAATTGTATACTGTCCTTGTTCAAATAAAGTCACATAACATACCATTCCATACCCTACCCTACCATACCATACCATGTAGCAGCATGAGGGTCTGGGACAAAGTGACAGTGACAAATTTGTGGCTTTTTATTGCACATTCTGACATTAGGTCAAGATTTTGCACAGATACACGACATGTGAGGTCAGTTCGGAGATGTTCGTTGGTCCTCCTTGTTTGTTGTACAGTCTGACAGCAGCAGTAAGGAATGAGTGCATACTTTCTGACAAGCGGAAAGTACAACACCAAAGCACTGAATTATACCCCAGCGTTAAATAGACAAACATGCATGGATTTTTGTCAATTTTTTTTATTGATTATTCCTTGTCCGTGAATCCGTGTCTCTTCTGGAAATCCCGGGAGTAGAGTCCTGAGGCAGAGGAGGCGAGGAGCCGGGTGTGGGCTGAGTCTAAACACAGTCTGTGGACCAGCACCAAACTGTTTCGCACCATCTCGAACGCAGCGGACCACACAAGGCTCACACTCCTCCGCTCTATTTCAGGCTCCGGACAAACGGGAGGTGAAGACCGGATCAAGACCGGGTCAAGACCAGGCCGTGGGGGAGGGGCAGTCATGTGGGAGTGTGGTGAAGAAGAAGTCACTCTGATTGTTTGCGGTTTAGAGGGTTATTTTAAGAAGCAAATATTATGCATTGTTTTCCTCGTGACTCACTGCGTTTGCATGCAGAAAGTATTCAGACAGGGCCCAACAACTTAGACGGATGATTCAGAGCAGATCTACTGGACATAAATCGTTACAAACGTACTGTTTAACCACATTTCAATGAATTATTGTAGTTGTTTTTATCGACCATCTGTTGGTGGCTGAGGGGATAGCACTCATAATTCACAGAAATAATGTAGTTCTGTTTGGGCCTGTGTAACTTCAGGCCTTTCCATTGACTGTACACAGATAGACAATAATAAACCGCTAGCAAAATTAAGTCCAATAGCGAAGTGCTCAAGAAGACATTTTTCTCCAACTCCCTCTGCCTCCTGTAGACTTACATTGAAAAGTGAAGTCCTTTAGCTTAGAAAATATCCATAGTTTAGCTGTCTTTATGATCCTGGAGTTTATGAGGTGATATTTGTATATAAAATCAGAAATGCCCTGTTTTAGGATTGTCACAGTCATTGCTTCAAACATTGAACATAAAATCAGATTTAGAAAGGTTACTGAAACAACTTAATGTAACAAACGTGTACAACGTCTGCTTTTTAACTTCTCTTAACATTTGAGAACATGATTTGATTGCTTCTTGTAACATGTCTTATTGAAATACTTAAAGAAGAAATATTTTGGGTTGTTTTTGGTGTTAAAAATGCTAATGAGACGGTTTACTTTGCTTTTCATGTTTTCAAATTTGAAGTAAAATATTTGGTAGAAAATATAAGGTGAAACAAGTATGAAGGCTCGAAAACGTAATTGACCCGCCCTTACCCTTTGCTACCACCAGAGGGAGGTGTAGAATTTGTTTTGTTATTTTCTGAATTTTAAAATGCATTGTAAATAATAAAATATCACTTGAGAAAATGCTAGAACTAATCTATTGTCAATACTTGTGTTTCGAAAGGTAAAAAAATAGTCATAGTAATAGTAATAGGGCGGCACTGTGGCTGAGTGGTTAGCACTCTAGCCTCGCAGCAAGAAGGTCCTGGGTTCCAATCCAGGTCGGAACAGGGTCTTTCTGAGTTTGCATGTCCCTGTGCCTGCGTAGGTTTCCTCCACGTACTCCGGTTTCCCCTACCACTAAAAACATGCTCACGAGGTAAAATCCTCCAGCTCCGGTCCTGACCAAGCCGAGCACCAACATCTGGAGACGGGTTCCCGGACGCTGTTACTACGGCGACTACTGCTCCTCACGTAAGCCTTTGCAGCAGCAGGATGGGTCAAATGCAGAGGATTGAATGGCAAAAATAGGCATAGTGGTACAATTACATCATACTATTACAGGAGCTCGGAGTCTCAGTAGTTCCGACTTCCCACAAGGAAAATTGGGAACAAATGCTGCTCAACTTGGAAACTTAGCTCTAGAACCCAGGTTGAAAATTAATCAAACTCTCCATCATCTCTATAGTAAACAAATTTTATTGTGAGTGTAAATCTCTGCCTTTGTTTTGCAGCAGCTCAGATCCCACAGCTGCATCCTAACATTATGTGAGTGCTGTGTGTGTTATCTCTCTGTGTGACCCAGAGAGACGCTTTTAAACAAACCACTGGACCAGGCTTCGGGGAAAAGGGAAGTTCACCAAACGCCTCATTACCACATCACTCCAGGAATGTCGCTGAGTTCGAAATATCCACTGGGAACTTCCTCCTGATGACTCCTCACCACCTGCACTGGAGATGACCATGAACATGTAGGACTTTACGCATTCAAACTAAACCCGTAGCACAGCGGGTAACATCTGTCGTGATAGTGATTAGCACTGTTTAGCACAATGAGACAACAGGTCAATCTCTCCTTCACACAATGGGAGGATCAGTCTGTCGCTGAAGCTACTCTCCAGAGCAGACAGTGTCCTGCAGGGGGCGACAGTCATGGTCCACATAGATGTCAGTTTGTCTGGGAACCTCTTGTCCTCCACCTGCTGCACTGTGTCCAGGGAAATGGACAGAGCTGGACTTCCTGATGACGTAGGTGCCATACTCTTGTGATCTTGTGTAAAAACGATTGCTTAAAATGAAAAAGAAACTTCCCTGGATTAAGGGCTTCAGTGAATTCTGTATGTGATGTTTTAAACTTACCAAATGAAATATACACATTTGACTAAAGACTCCCTCCCACTTGTCCTCAGTCACATATCAAGAAGATTCTGGGATGAATGGGCCTGCGGAACCACACAATTTTACAGTATTAATGATTTTCTTATCTGTGTCACATTTGACAGGACAACACACACGTCCATGGTTATTTCTCACGGTAAGTCTTTTTAGACGTCTCTTAAGAATAAACCTGGCCTTCCGGTTCGTAAGGGCTGTTTTAAAATAAACAGCCGTGTTGTTCAGCACCGTCTGCTCTGACCACATCCCCGAGAGAAGACGCTCTGTGCTCCTCAGATCTCTTGATTTTGTGGTCTCTGTCTCAGTCTTGGAGCATGTGGTCTGTGTGGAGGAGGATTCAGATATATCCAGTGTTCATGCTCCTACGTCCATCCATGAGAATCACTGCGATTATAACTGCTAGTTTTTACAATAACGTAGTAAAAAATGACAAGAAACACCATCACCTATGGTTATGTGGGAGCTCAGTCACACGGCAGGAGCTCGAATTAAAGCTGCTGCTCATTGAGAGGGGTCGTGATCTGTCCCAGTGCTGTGAGATATGAGGGTCCTCAAAAAACACAACCGTTGAGAAAGCTGTAGGTTATCAGTCAGCTGAGGATGAGCCTTAGAGGTTCATGTAACATTTCCTGGATAGACCTGGTGAATTGAGTCGGCAGAAGCACATACCAGTAAGCAATAAGCAACCAAAACCCTATCTGTGTAGTATAATACATCTATGCAGCCGCCCCAACGTCGTCTCCCATCACAGTACCTAACAAGACCCTTCCCTACTTAGCTTCAGAGGTGAAATTCACTGCCTTAATTATTAATCATGAATATGTATCTGGAAGTCAATAAATAAACCCTAGCCATTCAAATACACTCAGTGATGAATGGCAGTTTTAACCCGACCCACACGACCCTCCTCCTCCCCCTGTCCTGTGACCTGCTGAGGCCTCTGAGGAGCTTGAGGACTCTCTGTTCTTAGAGGACGCCTGAGTTATTGGTCCGTTTGTGGCCTGCAGCTCCACACAGACCTGTTAACCCTTGTATTATGTTAAGGGTCAATTTGACCCATTTCAGTTTTTGAGTTGATCAAAGTACTGGTTATCCTTTATTTTTCTTGCTGAAATTTGGTGACTTTTCCTCATCTAGGGTCATGAACTGGTGTGTAAAATCTGGACACTTTGATGTGTAGTGGAATGTCTGTGCAGAGTTTGTATACAAAGATGATGTTGCGGTCATTTTGACCCAGACGCTTCAATGTGGGTAAATTGTTGTTCAGATCCAAAAAAACATGTTTCTTTGACATTGTATTTTGATTGCCTCTGAGACCCAGAGCCAGGTGTGTGAAGAGAGGGAACTTTCTCACACTTGTCCTTGTCACTGTTCTCATGTCATCTCTTTTGCCTAGCGTACATCGGACTAGCAACTCATTATATCCGTCGCCTTTGAGTTGCTGCCCCGCACACATCAACAATCTGGCGAAAACGGGCAACTCCTAGTAGCAGGCCAGTTTCTGGAATAACAGCGCGTACATCGACAGCAACTGGCCTCAACTACAGTGTGTTTTTCAACATAAACTGTAGAGGGCGCAATACACGCAATACACACATGTTGTTGGAGCGCGCACATTGGGTCATATCTCTGGATCTGAGGAACACTAGTTGCAGAAAAGTAGAACACGGGCAACTGACTGAATCCGGAGATCGACTGTTTATCTCCAGTTGTAAGAGCGCTCACATCGACCGATTTCAACTGATCATCTCCATCATCTACTCTCAGTCTCCAAAAGCCGCCTTGCTACTAGTCATCTCCAGTTACTCTGTCGATGTACGCTAGGCTTTTGACAAACTCACCAAAAATGAGCTCCAGAAGGATGACATCTGAGGAGGCTTTATCACAGATTTTTAACTGGGATAATGATGTAGAGGAAGAGATTTCAGAAACAGAGGATTTTTCAGAGACAGAGGACAATGTTATTGCTGACGAATCTTTGGTCAAGGAAAGAGGAAGGGAGGAAGGTAAGAAGGAAAGAAGGTAGACAGGAAGGAAGGAAGGAAGAGAAAAGAAGGGAATAGATGAGGATGAACAGAGAGAAGAAAAACAGGATGAGAAAAAAGGAGAAAGCATGGCAGGAGGAAAGAATTGTCATTTTGACCCGAGAGGAGGACAAGAAGATTATACTAAATATTTCTTAAATATAGCATTGGAATTAAAAATGTATTGTATGTCACTTTTCTAAATATTTATATAACCTAAAATAAAGTTGTTATTGGTTTATTCTGTTTTCTTGACTGTTTTGAGTACATTTACACAGTACGGGTCAAAATGACCCGCAACATAATCAATGTCATTTTTTTTCAACATAATACAAGGGTTAAGGTGCACCCCTGTGATGGCATCTGGAGAATGTCCAGAAACCACATTATGCAACACTTCCCATGCAAAAGTCAATGTTCAAAAATCATACACATGTGTAAAATGTGAAGCCAATTCAAACCAGGACATGTCAAGCTTCTGTCGGCTATAGGGAGAGAATCTATGAAATGTTGTAATATATTTAGAACATTTTACTTTAAGCTGAGCTACAACAAGGTAATGGATATATACATCAAAATAGATAATAATTATGAAAATAATAACATATATATTCCACAACCTAAATAATTAGCGATGTGCCGACCGCGTGAATGCTTTAAAGTGTGTTTGAGTTTTCTACGGGTGGGAAAACAGCTCCCATCGGTGAAAGTTGCCATGTGTCAGTTGTGGCTAGAGCAGTAGTTTATCACCGCTGTGTATGGAGTGA